GCCTCCCGAAAAAGGTGCACAGATCGGCTGGCTTGTTTGGGGCAAAGTGTCTGCAGTTAGAGGCCATTAGAGTGAACCTGAGCCAGCTTAGTGAAGTAGAAGCTTTTCAGTTTGCTGCCCCTGCTTGGGAAGCTATAGAAAATATTACCAGAGGTGCCGGGGCGGGATGTAGAGCGAGCACGGTCAGCAAAGGCAGGGAGAGAGAGGGAGATGTAAGTCGCGTTTGAGGGTGGGCTCTTTTGGGCTACAGGGTGTCACGAGGATGGCAGAGTATGACAAAGGAAGTTAAGATAAAATAGGACCTGAAGTGCCCAGCTAAAGAATAAAACTTTTGAGACAGTGGAGATGGGGTAAGCAGCCAGGTAGACACTACTGCACTCTGGGCTTACTGGGAAGTGTTTTGACTTCCCCATGTTTGCCAGAAGCCCAGTGGTGAGAGGAGAGGGGCAGTTAGAGTGACTTCCTAATACAGACTAATTTTTGGAGTCAGCATAGCTGGGGTAGCCCCTAGGAAGGTGATCTGAGGCGTAGCCCAACAGCTTGGGCGATGTTGGGCCAGCCTCTTCCAACCTCAGAAATGAGGGGATTGGATGGGCTATGGCAGAGGTGCCCAGACTTGGCTGTCATGGACCATAAACCCACCATACCTACATCCTTCTCCCCATTTTTTTTTATTGCCACCATAGAGTTGTCAACTTTTACCTAGAAAAGAGAAAAATTTTAAACAAAGCTACCCTTTATTGTGACTACCTCTCAGCTGTTTATTCTCTATTGCTGTTTTCACAGCCCTGGAATCCCCTTGAAGCCAGTGCCACCTACTTATGCCACTCTTTCCTTTTTGTTTTTGTTTTTTTTTTCTGTCTCTTTTTTGAGGCAGGGTCTCGCTCTGTAGTTCAGGTTGGCCTTGAACTTGCAGCAATCCTCCTGCCTCAGCCTCCTGAGTGCTGAGAGTTCTGGAATTACAGAGGTGTGCTGCTACATCTGGCTTTCCTCCTCTGTTGCTGGCCACCTGCAGACCTAATCCAATCCCATTCTCTTAGTTCCTGGGCTTCCTACTCTAACTTCCTTGGTCCACTGTACTCAGTGGCCTTCTTATAAATTCACACCCTGGACCCTGTAGGCACAGGAAATCTCATTAACATCCTGCTTCCCTTTGGCACACTTACCCAAGCACTCCTGGCTCCACCCTTGGTCCCTGTACTATGCTCTTTGAGGCTTTTACTGCTTTCTCTATACTCTGTAACTCCTGCCCTCCTGCCTGCCTTTGTTTCCTCAGCAGGTCCAGTTCCCAGTCGCTTGTAGTTAGCCTGGTCTTTTTCTCCTGTCTCTGAACTTGGCTGGCCCAACTCCAGCCCTAAAGATACCATCATCTGCTTCTGCCCAGGCAAGAATTTCACAAAAGAGCTGGCTGGTTTCACTTTTGTTTGGCTACGCCTCTCTTGGCTCCAGTTCCTAGCTTTCCTCCCCAGCTGCACACTTTGCTCTGGCTTCCTGGAGTCGGTGGGTGCCCCCCAAACATGGACTTCTTTGTCATTTTGCCACACCTACCAGCCTGTGTACCATCTTCCCCCTTCTGTAAAGGAATGTCTCCTCTCACTGGCCTGTCCTCCTAGTACTTGTGTGTTGGGTCTTATACCCTCCCATCTGCCCAAGGCCTTGAAGTCTTCAGTTGTCATTCTTTTTCCTTCCCAGCTTGTTTTCTTTGCCATATAAATAGTTCAATCATCACCTTGGTTTATTGATTAAAAAAAAGAAAAGTGGTGGTGCACACCGGTTATCCCAGCACTCTGGGTGTCTCAGGCAAGAGGATTGCAAGTTCAAAGTCAACCTGGGCAACTTTGCACTTAGAGCAAGACCTTGTCTCAAAACGGTGATGGGGGGGGGCTGTAGCTCAGAAGGCCCTGAGTTCAAACCCCAGTACTGACAGAAAATTTAAAAAGGATCAAACAGTTAACACACAACCCAGCAGTTTTACTTTAGGTACATACCTAAGAGTTATGAAAACATATGTCCACAAATGTTCTGTACAGCACAATTCCCAGTAGTCAAAAGCTGGAGACAACTCAGATGTCCACCAGATGATGAATGGACAGCAACCCATACAATGGAATATAATTTTACCATAAAGAGGAGTGAAGCACTGATACTTGCTACAACATGAATGGATTTTGACTAGCTCCTTTCACTGGGCATAATGTCAAAATCCATTTTATGGGAGTGATAGCTAATAGATAATGGGGTTTCCTTTGGGGGTCATGAAGATGTTGTAAAATGACAGCAATGGTTATACAATTCTGTGACTATACTAAAAACCACTGAATTGTGTACTTCAGATGGGTATATCTCAATAAAGCCAGTTTTTTTGTTTTTTGTGTTTTGGTTTTTTGAGACAGGGCTTCACTGTATAGTTGAGACTGACCTAGAACTCGCTATGTAGCCCAGGCTGGTCTCCAACTCACAACGATCCTCCTGCCTCAGCCTCCCAAGTGCTGGGATTATAGGCAAGTGCCACCATGCTCGGCCAAAAAGCCGGTTTTTAGAAGTTATTAGAAGACACAAGTAAATATTTAGAAAACAAAATTTAGAAGAAAAAAAGACTTGCTTTCCTTTGATCCTTGCTCTCCAGCTACCTCCCTATTTCTCCATCTGCCTCCTGTAGGCACACTTGGCAGAGCTTCTCTGAAAGAGGCCTGGTCCTGCTCTCTTTTCCTTGGCTCCTGGTACTCCGAAGTTCCTCCCCAGCCTCACTTCTGCCCTGCCACTCCTCTGCCTTGGTGACCTTTGCCAGTCACATTTTTCTCACCTCTCAGGCCTGCATCTCTGCTGGGCTTTGTGACTTCTCATCTCCTGCCTCTCCAATCTTGTTGGCTCTTCCTTAGCCTTCCTTGGGTCCTGGATCCTACCCACTTCTTCCCTGGTGACTTTGCCTAGGCCTGTGCAGTTAAATGCCACCATTGTGCCAATCGATGGCTGCCAAATGTGTGTCCCTATCCCTGCCCTCTCCTCTGCTTCCCTGACCCTTCTACCTCATGGCCTCACCAGAACTTTTTATTTAGTCCTAAAGTGTCTAAAGTGGGCCCCCACCCAACCCCTATTCCTACCACCAACTTCCCAGACCAGAACCATCCTTATTTCCGGTCTTTCTTTCTTATTATCCCCCCTTCCCCACTTGTATCTGCAAAGTATTTTTGGATTCCTTCTGTCTTCCACCTGTGCATCACACCCCTCACACTCCCGCCTGGACTCTGCCTCAGCCCCAGCCCCCGCCCCCACCCTGCCACCTCTGCTGCTCCAGTGCCTCAGGTTGGTTCCCCACACAGCAGCAAATGCCATCTGCAAATGGGAATCCTGTCTGTTCACACTGTGCCTTCACGGCTTCCTGCTGGCCTCAGAATAAACTCAGAATGGTCTGGCCCCACACCCTGCCCTATTTAGTGAAGGAACAGAAGAGGGTGAACAGTGGTAGTAGCACCCGTTTCTTGCCACTGGGTGCTCACCACGTGCAACCTGGTAGTACACAGTATAATTGTTTTGTTTTTTGTTTTTGGTATTGGGGATGGAACAGGGGTCCTTGCACTTGTGAGGCAGGTGGCGGCACCACTTAAATCCCCAGCCCCTGCAGTATAATTTTTTTTTTTTTGGTTTTTTGAGACAGGGTCTCACTATGTAGTTGAGACTGACCTGGAACTCACTGTGTACCCCAGGCTGGTCTCGAACTCACAGCGATCCTCCTGCCTCAGCCTCCTGAGTGCTGGGATTAAAGGTGTGAGCCACCACGCCCGGCTAGAAAGGGAATTATGAAAGTAAAATTGTAATTGAAAAAGACTGGTTCATACCTGTGAGAAAGTGCCAGACAGAACCCCCTTCATAATGCAAAAGAAAACACTAGGCCCGGCTAAGAGGCAAACTAAGAACCGTCTAACTTTCCATCTTCCTCTCAGCAACAGCTGAATTAAAGAGTTTCTTTTCTTCCATTTCATGGCATTAGTTTGCCTGTGATTAGTTGGCTTCTTTGTTTTCTTGGTAGCATCCATACTAGAGTTCTTTCAGAGTCAGCATGTCCCTGGCTATTACACATGGCAAGATAGTGGCAGTACTGGCTACTGTACTTTTTGTAGGGCCATTTCATGTGCATAGAATCCTTAATTATATGAAGCTCAGATGTCTGATGCCTCTGCCATTGGCAAGCACCACCAGCGTTTTCACAATACCAGTGCAGGCAGCACTGTAGGAGGTGTCAGAGTTGCCCACTTACTGAAATGCATTTGCTTTCAGTGCAGCATATCTCTTATTTAATGTTCTTACTGAGAGTCATTTTTCGTGTGTCATCTGTTCCTTTGTCCTGGCAGGAATGTACCCCTGAGACTCCTCACCTGGTAAAGTAGTGTCAAGATGTAAGCTTGGAAACATTTCAGGAAAGGAGTATGCTCGAGTCTTGCTATGCTCCATTTTTGTGGCCCAGGCCATAAAGTCTTACTAACGGCAAGATTGTGCTAACACAGGGCCTTCTGGTGTGCACTGTATCTCAAATCCCAGGCTTCCCTCTGCAGCTCCTGTGACGGTCCTACTCACCTTACACTATTGACACTACCATCACCAGCATGTACGGCCTGTGAGTAGCATGTGCCAGGCGCTGTACTCATGCCTTACCTGCATTCGCTTACCAAATTATCACAACAGTGAGACAGAAAACCAATGGTGTCAGTGTACCTAATAGCAGAGGAATAGCGCAGTCCTTTAGTTATCGCCCTTGGCCAAGGCTTAAGTAGGACATTGCTTCCCCACTTGTATTTTGAATTTATGAGGCTCTCACTTGAAACCTCAGTGTGGAAAAGAATTTCAGCCCTCATTTGGGAAATAGGCAAATAACTGCTTCTCTGTCTCCTAGAGTTGGAGAGACTCAGGTCAGGTGTCCCTTGTCCCTCCCCTACTACAGGCCTTCATGCCCCGAGGACTGACAGACAAACAAGGACCTGAGGAATGTGATGCAGTTGCTCTTTTAAATTTTATCAACTCCTGCGATCACTTCATGGTTGATCGAAAGAAAGTCATAGAGGTAAGAGCCATCGGGTTCAAAATCATACACCAAGTTAGTCGGGTCAGTACTGGAATGGCCAGGAGTGAGACACACCCTGTGACGCTAAGCCAGCCCTGTAGGCATGATACAGTGGTCCTCAGGACAGCAGTGTGCCAAGAAAATTAGCTGAGGTCTAAAGTTGGCATCATTTGCTCATGGGGCTCATGTCATGTGCACCTACTGTGATGTCCAAGCGCCCAGTGCAAATGCAGTCAAGAGCTAGCCATTTAGTTCTTCGTAAGTAGAATTTACCTTTGAAATAATATAAAGCTTGGACTTCTCTTCCCTGTTCTTCCAGAAACAGAAGCAAAATAATATTCTCTATTTAAAACATACATATATACATACATACACACACAAACACACACACAAAACATACATACACACACACACACACACACACACACACGGGACTGGGCATGTAACTTGGTGGTAGAGCGCGTCCCTAGCATGTATGAGGCCCTGGGTTCGGTCCCCAGCACCAGAAAAGACGAAGGACACAATACATTATCCTTTCTCTTGTATGCCAAGCAGAATCCTGCCCTTCCAAATCTCAGTGGCTACATAGTTGCAAGACCAGATGACATAGAACTGAAGAAGATAGGAATACTAATGGATAATATTGTCAGAAAAGATCACAGAGCTTGTAAGATATTCTGGGGGAGATTTAGATTTTTTTGCTAGTTCGCCAACAAACAGCTCTTTCACATTTATTACTCTGATGGTCATCGAAGCATCCTTGGATTATGTATAACATGTAAAGAAAATGCTATATATTTGCCAGTGTGGAAGCAGCTAAAAAGATTAAAGAATCCTCAGTGACCTCACAGAGACAAAGACCTATCACAGTGGTTGACCTCTTTCATATCTTCCAGCCAAGAATATGGAAGATTATGCAAATTATACAATAACGAATTGTAGCACTGTTTTTCTTAAAATGTAGGCAAAAGTTGACTTTCTTTATAGAAAACTTGCTTGACCCAACTTCTTGGCATTCCATCAATATCTAAAAAATTTTTGTATTGTCTGCTTCAGCCTGCGGGTGTACCCAGAGCCAATATGTGTGCTCTCTAACAGGCTGTTTTCAGTTAAGAGATTTGGAAAAATGTGAAATAGCCTGCAATATGCCAGATTTCAAGGGCTATGGATAGTTGCAGACTTATTTGTATTTCTTACTGCCTTACTTTCTGATCACTGGCACAAAATACCCATCTCAACACCCACAACTTAAAAGGGAGGGGTTTATTTGGGCTCACGGTTTTAGAAGTCTCCGTCCATAGTTGGCTGGCTCCGAGGTAGAAATGGCATGGCAGAGGGCACAGCAGAGGAAAAGGTGCTTGCATCATAGTGGCCAGGAAGCAGAGAGAAGGGAGAAGTCAGGGAGGGAGATCCACCCTTCCAGGTCACGTCCCCAGTGACCCGCCTCTAACCAGGCCCCGCCTCCTAACAGCACACTCAGCTATTGAACTGCTTAGTAGAAGAATCCAGGGATGAGTAAGTACAGTATAGCACCCCATGATCCGGTCACCTTCCAAAAGCTCTGCCTCTGACACAGAGTTTTGGAGGGACATTCTGGATCTAAACCATAACACTCTGGTTAATGTATTATCACGTGGTAGAGGGTGAACACCTCCCCCAGCCTTGACCACTCTTACAGGCACCTACAGGTCATATCAGGGACTTGTGTGTTGTTTGGAAACCTGTTCCAACAGCATAGGAAGGAGAAAAAGTCTGAACCACTCATCTTTGCCTGATTTTGATCTTTTTGTTCCAGGAGTCTTATGACCAAAATCTTGCTTGCAGTCATGTTTTATTTGTTCTGCCTGGCTTTTTAAATTTTTTGAGCTGGGCGTGGTGGCACATGCCTGTAACCCCAGCTACTCAGGAGGCTGAGGAACAGGATCACAAGTTTAAGTCCAGCTTGGATAACTTAGCAAGACTCTGTCTAAAAGTAAAAAATAAAAAGGGCTGGCAATGTAGTCAGTTGTAGGTAGAGTGCTTACCTAATGTGGGAAGCCCTGGGTTCAGTCCCCAACTCTGAAAAAACAACAACAACAACAACAACAAAAACCACATCTAAAAAATCTAAATTTCCAGTTTCCCTTGAAAAATTAGACGGCCTGCCAGGTGTGGCACACGCCTGTAATCCAAGCATTGGGGAGGCTGAGGCAGGAAGATTGACAAAAGTTCAAGGCCAGCCTGGACTGCATAGAGAGGGCTTATCAAAAAAAAAAAAAAATCAGAAGGCCTAGTGACACCGAGCTCATGTAGCTCCCATGGCAAAAGGCCACCTGTTTATAGAGGCAACTCCTTTAGCTAGGGTATCCATTCTCCAGTTTGTCCCAGTGTCATCGCTCCTTGTCTCCCTGCTGCTGAACAGGGCCAGCTTTGCTCAGGTTATCTGCCTGACCTTTGGAGGCATTTTATTTTATTTATTTATTTTTTTTTTATTTATTTTAATATATATATATATATTTTGTTTGTTTGTTTGTTTCTTTGCTTGTTTGTTTGGTACCATGGATCGAACTCAGAACTTTGTGCTTGTGAGGCAGGTGGCAGAACCACCGAGCTAAATCCCCAGCCCGAACTGGAGGCATTTTAGCTGTGACCCAAGGAGGATTTTTTTTTTTTTTTTTTTTTTTTTTTTTTTTGCGGAACTGGGGATCAAACTCAAGACCTCGTGCTTGTAAGGCAGACACAGTGCCACTGAACTCAGTCCCTGGTCCTGGAGGATTTACTTTTTGAAACATGCTCTTCTGGAAGTGAAATACAGATTGGACTTGGGGCTGGAGAGCTGCACTGTTCTCTGTGCTGATGGGAGCACATGCCAGGCTGTACACAGCTATGCACCAAGGAAGGTCTGTTCTTCCTCATCTGGAGACCACACTTGTTGATTTTGTAATTGGCAAAGCCTTTCTGCAATTTTTCTGTGGAGCCACAAGATCTCAGTTTACCTTTGAAGCCTTTTATCTTTTTGTCTTTCTGTAGGTGATTAAGTGCCGTAATGAGATCATGCACTCTTCAGAGATGAAAGTATCATCTACATGGCTTCGAGATTTTCAGATGAAGATCCAAAATTTCCTGAATGAATTCAAGAATATCCCAGAGATTGTGGCAGTGCATTCCAGAATAGAACAGGTAAAAGTCCTATTTAAACACTTCTGGCTTACAGAAGTAAGGAGTCACACACAACTACAGTCACTCATTTAGGATTTGGCATTTATTAGATTTAAACTAAATTTTGTTTTATTTTTTGTGGTGCTGGGGATGGAATCCACAGCTTTGAGCATGCTAGGCAAGCACTCTCCCACTGAGAAACGTCCCTGACCCAGAACTAAATTTGAGAATAGAAGCAGGGGAAAGGACAAATCAGTTCAGTGGGCTGGGGGTTCAGGTCAGTGATAGGGTCATTGCTTGGCACGTGTGAAACCTTGGGTTCCATTCCTGGCTGCAGCACCAAAAGCAACAATAGCAATGACAACAACAAAGAGAATGAATAGACTAAGTAAATAAATCAGTTCATACATTCGTGTGGTCACCCTACAGCTGTTGACATCTGACTGGACTGTTCACATGCCCGAGGAAGACTGGCCCGATGGGTGTGAAAACGAGGCAGGAAGTTACCTGAGTGTGAGCCAAGTTAATGAAATCGAAATGGAATTAATGAAGGAAAAAGTTCAAGAGATGCACCTTCAAGCAGATGCACATGAGGTGCCACCCAAAGAGGTAAAGGAAAGGGTTATATCCTCTCTGAGGAAAGATATAAAGATATGCGCCAGAGAAGGGGAACAGCTTGGGTTGACACATAGCTAGTTAGGTTTCTGATTTACAAGTCAATTTCCAGAAGTTAGTATTTTGGCACTGATCAATATTATATCTTAACAAATATTTTCATTTAATCAGCAAGCGTTTGAGGGCTTAACTATGCCACAAAGTGGAATAAGCGGGTGGGGAGTAAGGGCTACACCAGGATTTGGAACAAGAAGCTCAGGGACCTCTATGCCCCCCAGTCACAGACATTGCCCAAAATGAGGTTCATTGGGCTGGAACTCCCAGATTTGGTAAGAATTGGGTAAATTGGCAAGGGAAGGAGGATGTTCCTGGAGGATATTCAAGGAAGAACACTTGGAACGGCTCCAAAGATGAGTTTGGGCCTGAGCGATGGCCAGGTGAGCACAGGAGGTATGTGTAGGCAGGAGCGTGGTAGGGTGAGTTGAAGCATTTGTTTGGAAGGCTTTCTGTACCATGCCAAGGAGTTTGGGTCTTTTTCCCCCTAGCAGTGGGAGCCAACAGATGTTTTAAAGCAAGAAAGAGCTATAGGGTCAAGCGTGCCTTTTAAAAAGTGAACTGTTATAGTACTTGAAGCTTAGGCAAGTGGTGACAGACCCGCCAGAGGCCTTGGGTTGTGTGAGATGTGAGATAGGACAGAAGCTAGGGGCTGTGCTGGAGGAGCTGGGTCTTGGGAACTTTGCACTGCAGAGCTGATGGATCTCAGTGCCATGTACATTACTTGGGACATGGCATGAGGCTAAAGGGTCACCAGGGTTCTTACCACCTGCAGGTTAGCAACAGTCTCAAGTTCTGAGAGGAAGCATGGGAGGCAGGCATCACCTCTGTTATAAGCAAGGTCTGAAAGAAACTACCAGTCAAAGAATTGTATTCTGGTAAGGTTCAGAGATATTCTAGCCTTGGCTGCATTCAAATTCAAGAGTACCAGGAATCCATTCACCTTCCATTCCTCCTTGGCAAGGAAAGGGGTTTCGCTGGTTACTTCGTGAAACAGGCAGAGTGGTTAACATGAAGTGAGTATTTCATTCATTAGGCTGGGCTCCTTCCTGACACATATGCTTGTATTACCGCTTTCAGTTAGACCCAGTGTTTTAGACAGTGTGGTAAGCTCTGTTGGTCCACGGACTGGCTACCACTGGTGTTTGTCTGTGCCTGCTATGTTTTTTTTTATTTTTTAAATTTAAATTTTTATTTTTCATTGAGTTTATTGGTACATTTTAGGTATACAGTACAGTTACATTTATCATTTGGATCTTGTACCTTTACATGGTGTATCTTGGTTCTTTTTTCCCCATTCCCCTGCCCTGCCTTCACCCTCTCTCTCTTCCCTATTTACAAAGACTCTGTTTTCATTTTTTCCTTTTCTCATATTTTTTCTTTTCCCTTCTTTCCTTTCTCCTACCCTTCCCGCTTCCCCTAATTCTTTAGCCCTTTTTTCCTATTTCACATTATCAGTTATACAGTTTGAGCCTCTTTACACTTTTAATTTTTCACACCAGAGAAACTATTCAATATTTATACATGCATGTCCTATTTATTTCACTTAAGAGTATACCTGCTGTGGTTTTTAAAGCGATCACTCAGAATGTTCAGTCTTCTCTTTTCTAAAACCTCTGGCTTTGTTTTGAAATGCCATTAGAACCATCCCCAGTTTCCTTCCTGCTGCTTCTTCCAGAAGCAGGAAAGACTAAGAGAAGGTAGCCTGAGGCCCAGGCTCACTGCTGAGTCCTCAGTGGTTCCCTCTCCTCTTATGGGAGGTCTAGTTCTTTTCCTGTTTGTGTAACCAAGAGCTGAATGCATGAATAGCAACATGCTCAAGCCAGGATTCTGATGTTAGAGAGCCAGAAGGGGACCCGGTAATTCTGTCACCATCTCCCTGGCTGGCCAGGTGAGGTGAGGGCCCCGGGGAGCTGGTTCTGGGGCGTGAGGCTGTCTAGAGGCCTCCCTTTCCGGTCCTGGTCCCAAGGCTTTGCACATACTGTGTCACAGGGCTGGCATCACTGAGGGGCTGGCGCCTGTAAGTTTCTAACCTCATTATCTCTGTGTAACAGAGAGGGAATAGGGTTTCACAGGCTTGTCCTCTGGGTCACAAAGTCTCTGGGAAGAGTTGATAAATGCTCATTTTTCATGCTTTCTGCTCTGCAGACCGTGGCATTTTTTACTTGTAGTTCAGGTGATCGGAATGTAAGTTGGGATTGCTATGTTATTGCGAAGAAGTTCAAGGTCAGCCTTCCACGTGTGTTGCATTTGACCTTTTCTGAAAGTCCAGTGCTGTGTAGGGTATTCACATTCGCTAGGGTTAGTCTCTAAAGGCAGGATTCAGTAAGACAAAACTTCAGTCAGTTGCAATTGCCATCAGATATAAGACACACCATTACTTCAGTTACATCTAAGAAAGAAAACATGCTTATTGTAAGGTATTAGCAATGGCAAGATGCATTCTCATGTGAGGAGGTAGGATATGAACAAATATGTATATCCAGGAATCAAGAAATATGGTGATTACATTATGACCATGGGACTTTTTGTGTTACCTGAGACCTGTCTCTGCCTTCTGTTAAAACTACAGGTAGAGTTGGAAAGCTAAGTTGAGGACAATGCTTGGCAGTGGTAACCAGGTGTGGCAGTTCCTGCAGCTGCATTGTGGGGCACCAGGCCATGCCCAGAGCGCTCTGCATCTCCACTCTTTTCTGCTAGCTTCATGAACCTCGATGCTCTATGGTATAAGGAAGAAGATCACACATTTAGGTGATCATAAGACGGAGATCATAGGACACCAAATGGGAGCAGTGGCTCTTTGGGCCTCTCCAGACACGCTGGGAATGTGTGCCCCGCTTGGACCCATTTGCCCCAGAATTCATTTAGCTGCCACCCAAATGCCCTCCACATAATTCCACCAGCCCTCAGAGCTCTGTTAGGAGGTGGGAGTTTAAAATTTCAGCTAGAGGGCCGGGGATTTGGCTCAGTGGTTCTGCTGTCTGCCTCACCAGTGCAAGGGCCCGAGTGTGATCCCTGGTAC